TTAGGGGTCGACCGATTATCGGCCTGGCCGATTATCGGCGCCGATATCGTTCAAAATATCGGTTATCGGTCTACTTGATCTGTAATAATCGGTATCGGCATCGGCCTTGAAAAACACATATCGGTCGACCCCTAGTACTGTTACTGTATATCCACATAATTTGGGGGTGAAATATGACTTTTTATTTCCTCACACATTTTGATGTGGTGCATGGTTTTAATATTGAATATACTACCAAATACTCTTGAACATCATTCAAATTATGCTTTGATAAAGTCCATATGTTTCATTTGAGCTGGAGCACTTGGAAATGGTAGGGAATCCACTAGAGTATTGATAATGCTATTATGATATTATTAGATTAGATAACTCATCTTTTGTCACTTCCCCTTCCTTCTGATGATTTATTCCCTATTTTTACCCTTGATGGCCTCTAATTCATGATAATTTTTCTGTGTTCATGTCTCAGTAGACCACATCAGCTACCATCCAGTACAACAGTGCTGCAGACACAGGGCAACACACATTCACTCTGAACACAGAAGAAAGCCTCCATTCCCCAACACATACACATAACTAATGGCATTATAGCCTCATTGGCCTTTGTACACAGAATCTATTTCTATTCACAGCTGTCAGTTTTCTCTTGCTTATTATCACAGACAAACACCCCCTAAAGTGACTCCCACTCGAACCTCTGCCATTTTACCTCGCTGCCTCTCCTGTCACTCTGACAACCACCACACTCTCCCCATCTCCCAGTGCCAGCACTCCTGAATCCCACATTCAGAACGTTTAGAGATGATCATGACCTCACTGTGGCTGTGTTGTGATTTTATGCAGCTTCAAAATCTAGCTGTTTTGACTGGAATTGTTTCAGTTTATGTCTTTTGCCAAATGTTCCCTAAATGGCTGCACGAAAGCTTTTTACATCCCAGTGACTCTGCGACTCAAAAATAGCTTCCAGAAGATTCAGGTAGTGCCTCACAGCATCTGCAGAAACACTGCAGGGTTGTTTTAACCTGTGTGGACCTGTAATAAAAGAAAAGCCTGGGGAGTCTGAGGTGTAACTTTTTAGGGACAATATTGGCAAACATCTTGAGCGGTCATCAGCTGTGTATCTCATAGTTGGATATAAGGTCAGAACGTGCACTTAAGTTTGAGTTTTGACCTCATATCCAGTATCTAATCTATTTTGACATGTTTACATTCATCTGTTTGGGGCACAGGTCTATTGTGTTTAATACATCTGTTATAGCTGACTGAACTCATGGACAGCTGGCTAGCCAGTCCTGCAAATACTCCATACCAGTCGGAGCAGATACACTGTACAAATCTTTCCCAGAAAACAACATGGATGATTGACTGAGAGATGACTTAAAGGGATACTCCACCCCAAAATGAAAATTTTGTCATTAATCAATTTACCCCCATGTCGTTACAAACCCGTAAAAGCTTCGTTCGTCTTCGGAACACAATTTAAGATATTTTGGATGAAAACCGGGAGACTTGTGACTCTCCGATTGACTGCCAAGTAAATTACACTGTCAAGGTCCAGAAAAGTATGAAAGACATCGTCAGAATAGTCCATCTGCCATCAGTGGTTCAACCATAATGTTATTGTCATGGGTTGCACACACTCCCGGTTTTCATCCAAAATATCTTAAATTTTGTTCCGAAGATGAATGAAGCTTTTAGGGGTTTGGAACGACATGGGGGTAAGTGATTGACAAAATTTTCATTTTGGGGTGGAGTATCCTTTTAACCTTGTAATGTAGTCCATTACATCAAACAAAGTCACAAATAAAATAAATCTAAGTTTATTCTTTACTCAACCATATATATTACCAGTCAAAAGTTTGGCATAAATACATTTTTTAAAGAAGTTTCTTATGCTTACCGAGGCTGCATTTATTTGATCAAAAATACAGTAAACAGTAATATTGTGAAACATTCCTACAATGTATTTTTTTCCAAATATATTTTAAAATGTATTTTTTTCCTGTGATGCAAAGCTGAATTTTCAGCAGCCATTACTCCAGTCTTCATTGTCTCATGATCTTTCAGAAATCATTCTATGCTGATTTGGTAAGCAGTTATTATCCTTTATTATTAGTGAACAATTATTAAGAATGGGTCTTATTATTATCAATGTTAAAAATAGTTTTTCTGCTTAATATTTATGTGGAAACAGTGATACTTTTTTTCAGGATTCTTTGATTAATAGAAAGTTCAGCATTTATCTGAAATTGAAATTATTTATTTATTTTTCAAAACAACAACAAAGACTTACTTATCCCAAACCTTTTCATCACTGATATTAATAAGAAATGTTTTTGAGCACTAAATCAGAATATTAGAATGATTTTTGAAGGATTATGTGACACTGAAGATTGGAGTAATGATGCTGAAAACTCAGCTTTGATCATAGGAATAAACTACATTTTAAAATATTTAAAAATTGAAAACTTGGTAACACTTTACAATAAGGTTCCATTGGTTAATGTATTAACTAACATGAATGAACAATGAGCAATACATTTATTACAGTATTTATTCATATTTGTTAATGAAAATACAGTTGTTCATTGTTAATTCACAGTGCATTAACTAATGTTAACAAACACAACTTTTTATTTTAATAATGCATTAGTAAATGTTGAAATTAATATTAAGATTAATAAAGGCCGTAGAAGTTCACTCTTAGTTCATGTTAACTAAAGTAGTTAACTAATGTTAACTAGTGAACCTTATTGTAAAGTGTTACAGAAAACTTTTATTTTAGGCTATAATAATATTTCACAATATTACTGTTTTTATTGTATATTTGAGCAAATATATGCAGTCTTGGTGAGCATAAGAGACATAAGAGAGTCTTTCAAAAAGTATTCTATATTTAAAAGCAAAAACTGCACAGGAACAAACCAGAGACATGACCGCTTCTCCAGACATCTGTAAACAGAAGAATACTAGGTTTCACCATCTCAGCACAGATAACATGTCTCCTATTACTCACATGCAAAGTGCAACTGTATGACTGAAACGATCTTAACATCTGTCTCAAACATGCAGCTTACAGCTTACTGTACCATTATAACTCACCTACTGTATAACCTACCTTTCAAGGAAATCTCAGTTTTACTCAGTGAGTGTGATAATCCTAATAAATAATGAGTGTGATAAATAATCCTACAGCATTAACATTATTATTATTTTTTTTACCCTTTCCAATTCCTTACTCAAATAATCACGCAAGCTGTGGGAATCATTGCGCTCTTGCTGGCTTCTTGGCTCCATCTCATCATATCATGGGTCTAAGCTCAGCAAGAGTAATTAAACAAGTCTGAAGGACTTTCTGGCATCCTGGCAACACATTCAACACAACAGACAGCCACGAGAGATTTAGGATCGGTCAACGATGCTAGAAAACATGCTAATTTCAATGTTATGTTATGAAGGGGAATCAGTGTTACACATTTTACACGTTAAAATAATTAGTTACAGTTAACCATTAGGTCTACATACAAGCAGTTCCACAAAACAATTACACACTAAATATGCAGTTCCTTAGATGTACTGTAACATGAATACCCTATTATAAAGAATTTGACCCTCTTTCCTTATATATTGTCTTGTCAGCGTGATAAAACCATAGTTTCCCACACCCTCTCCAGGAAGACAGTGCACTCGGCCCTTAGAGCTGCTGTGTGAGCCATAAATTGAATTATAGCACCACCAGCCAGTGGAAGAGGTGCTGCAGTTCAGTTACCATCTACTACTGTTAAAACTCAAACACTGTGGCCAAAAATATACAGCAGCTTTATATCAAACAACATATGTCATATGTTTGTGTTTAATGAACTCAGGAACAACATATACAACAGTAATTGCATTAAATTGTCAAATAATTCAAGACAAATTGAGGATTTCTGTCAAAGCAACTGATGGAATTTGACTCAGTTTAAAATTAAAAGATATCTTTATGGTTTATTATTCTGAAATTAGATGTAAAATATAATTTAAAAAAATATATAGATATAATTTATACTTAAATATTTAAAGTAAAGCATGCAATGATATATTTACAACACTGTTTTGTTAATTTATCTTTTTTTGGTAACAGAGAGGCTGATGAGAATTTGTATACTAGGTATGTAGGTATTCAGAATAATCAAAAAGCTGTGCACATTCCCAAAGACCACTGCAAGTGTTTCTTCCCTCTTACATTAATATTAACTCTGCATGCTTGAAATTCATAATTAAACCATTTGCTGAAAGATGAAACTACTCCTATCCATTAAATCACACACAAAATAATTTTTTTACAGAAAAAAAATCACAATATAAAATACAAGTATCAGTGCTGCTATATTCTTTGTCTTCCTGCAGTGAATGAAAACATCACTTTTATCGGAAAAATTACATGAAACCCAAGTGCACATATGACTCTGATACGCCTCCTCCTATATCATCGACTGGATCTGTGCCAATGCTAAAGACTATTACTTCATTGCTTCTGCTAGTCAATATTTCACACACAAAAAACAACACCAAACAACTCATAAAAATGACACTCTTATTGTCACCATTACTTATAACAGAGCAGATTACGGATGTAGACGCATATGAAAGAAATGATTTCAGTCTTTCAACACAACCCCCTCCACCGCCCAACAAACACACACACAACCCCATCCATCCCATTATCTCAACTATACAAGCACTCAGACCAAACCATGACTATATCTTTTATGCATGAAGGTGATGCTCCACAATATGGTGTTATGAAGCATTTCAATGCACTTATTTCTAATTTCTGAGAGCAAAATAAAATGTTCTACTCCTGAGGATACATATTGACCTTGCCTAAAAAACCAAAGCCCGAAGACATCCAGACACTCTGAAAAGATATTCGGACTCTCGGCACCGATTCTTCAAGGAGGTCGAGAAGGGACAGTTCAATGTGAAATGCCACTCAATATTCAGACAGAAAAGTTTACCTAGCAGAAGGAACGCCAGTCCGGCTTGAAGCACCGAGGGTCAGAGGAACCGAATCTTCTCACTTGTCATATTTTCCCATGTTGTGTTCCACTGGATTCACACTAAATTCAAAGGTGCGCGTGATATGAAGGCATCCAACTCCCCAAAGCCCATATCCAAAACCACTAAAATCCAATGGGTTTTTTCCCTTTCGACGTAATGGATAGATATCTCCAGAAAACGTACTCTGAGGGACAGTCAAATTCCTGCGCAATGTGCCCGACGCCCCTCAAGAAAGCCAAGTACTTGTTTTCCCCTCAGAAGCGCGGAAGCTCGTGCCATTCTCCTCCCGCCCGTCGACGCACCTCGCTCGAGCGCGAGCTTTTGTCCGCATTAAACCCGTTAAGTCAAATAAAATCTCAACAGGGATACCTTCTCACCACCGCACCTTTACAAGCACTTTCCTCCCCGCTTAATCCACACAGTCACTGACCGACTGCCTTCCGCGCCGACCCTCCATCCAGAAGGTATAAAAAGTGTCTTCTCCTCAAACAGCGTAGCTACGCTCTCCACACGCGACTGAAGATGGATTTATAACTCGAAATGTCTCCTACAAGTCGATACAACACACATAGGATGCTGAAAATTTAAAGAGAGGTCTAATTAATTGCCCATGAGGCGGAAAGAGGGAGCCAATTCCTCATCATAACGGTAGAGCTGTTTAAACAAACTAGTTTTACACCAGCCACTGCCTGGGATCATCAGTACAACGGCTGTTCTTTCTCCCCTGCTGTTTGGATTGGGAGAGAGAACGCAGGACGTCATGACGGATTGGCTCAGACTGACGCTCGCAATACTTGATACGTGTGTCACTCTGCGCCTCTCAGTGAGAAGTGTTGTTGATTTAGTGCTCGAAGACGACGGAAAAGGTAAAGAAAAGCACGAACTATGGCAAGCTGCTTTAGCGTTTATTCCTTAGAACAAAGTAGTATCGATTTTTTTCTTACTTAGGTTTTTTTAATTTTTTTTATCTAGTAAATCATCCAGTAGTTACCACTGGGGACTTTTAATTTCACTAGTTAACTTTTCATTGGATACTATTAAAGGATTAGTTCACTTCCAGAATAAATAAAAAAAATCATGATAATTTACTTACCCCCATGTCATCCAATATGTTCATGTCTTTCTTTCTTCAGTCGCAAAGAAATTAAGGTTTTTGAGGAAAACATTCTAGGATTTTCCTCCATAAAATGGACTTCAGTGGTGGCCAACGGGCTGAAGGTCCAAATTGCAGTTTCAATGCAGCTTCAAAGGGCTCTACACGGTCCCAGCTGAGGAATAAAGGCCCGTTCACACCTAGAACGATAACTATACAGATAACTATATTAGTGTCCACACCAGCGGATATCGTCTGTTTATTCCAAGCGCACCCTCGTCTGCTGCTTTAAATTCTCAAGCTCGTTACAGCAGGATTGATTCTGATTGGCTGTCAATGTTTTTATCGTTCATCAGCTGAAAAAAAAATCGTTCTGAAAGTGATTCCAATGATATCGTTTCTCTGTGCCTTTATCGTTATAGCTGTGGTGTGGACTCTGGTATTCTTTAATATTGAGAATGATTTTTAGAACTATATCTTTATCGTTATAGTTATCGTCCTTGGTGTGAACAGGCCTTAAGGGTCTTATCTAGCAAATCGATCTGTCATTTTCTTTAAAAAAATAAAAATGTATATACTTTTTAACCACAAATGCTCGTCTTGCACTAGCTGGACTTAACGCATTACGTAGTCACATTGGAAAGGTCACGCATAACGTAGGCAGAAGTGCCGACCCAGTGTTTATAAAGCGAACGTGCAAAGAAAGTCAAATGCCCTTTACAAAAAAAGGTAAAACAACAATGTCAGACGATTTTGAAGTTGGAGAAGAAAATGAGTTTTTCGCCCTACCCTACCTTTTTGAACCGGAGTACACAGACGAAGAGCTAACCACGCGTGACCTTTCCAACGTGATTACGTAATGCGTGAATTTACAGATGCGCAATGCGGAGCTATAGTGCAAGACGAGCATTTGTGGTCAAAAAGTAAATACTTTTTTATTTTTTTAGAAAATGACTTATCATTTCGCTAGATAAAACCCTTATTCCTCGGAGCTGCACTGAAACTGCAATTTGGACTTTCAACCCATTGGCCACCATTTAAGTTCATTCTATGGAGAAAAATCCTGGAATGTTTTCCTCAAAAACCTTCATTTCTTTGCAACTGAAGACAGAAAGACATGAACATCTTGGATGACATGTGGGTGAGTAAATCATCAGGAATTTTTTTATTCTGGAAGTGAACTAATCCTTTAAGGTGCGTTCACATTTACTGTTGCTTGGCGAAATTTTGTAGATGAAATCCAGTAATTCCAATAGGAAGTGATCAGGACTCTCACATAAAGGCAATTTTTTTTGTTTTTGTTTTAGTTGAATGATAATGTGTACCCTCTTTATAGCTTACCGACCTACAGGCAAAAACTGAAATCAGCTAAACCCGTATTAAGGACCGTAAAAAGATGGACTAATGAAGAATGGAATTATGAAACCAGCTTTAATTTCCACAACTTCAACAATGACACTGACAATTTCTTTAAGAATCGTCATTGGTCCAATTAATTTTTTACATGCGTATACCAATTGTTACTAGTAACATATCTCACTAATTAAAATTGCTGTTTACTTGTCATTTATACTTACTCAGAATGGCTTCTATATAGTTTAATTAATTAATTTTACCAGAAGTCACTGGAATAGTGACAACAGTAGTACAAAATGTGCTAGTGAAGCTAGAATACTTCTATTCACCTTAGGTCTGTTATTTAAAGTATATGTGCCTAAATAAAAGCTAAGACTGGAATACATACTGTGAGTAGTTGATATCACAGATTGACAGCATTATTTGGATTATTTATTTATTTTAAATAACAGTAGAAATAGTTACTTGTCATCATTAGAATAGACCAGTAGCAAAGGAATAAGTAGCCTAATTGTGTGTAATGAGAAAGTAGCCTTCTATTGACTAGTTGAATATAAATAAATAGAAAAGATAGGCTACTAGTAAGTTTAAAGGAATAAACGTTCATATGGCTTGCCATAAAAGGACAGGTTACTGTATGACTCTGACTACCGTTCAACCCAAAAACCTCAGCCACGTCCACGGAAATCCAACAGATGGTCGGGATTAAGAACGAACCTTAAGTGGTCCGCGTGCAGGAATGTTCCACGCAGTGAATGCAGCGAAGCCAGTGAATGGAGCTGCAGCTGATTAAGCCATAAAGCTTTGAGTTGCTGCCGCTGAAAAACCGCTTATACACTCGTGTTGTGTTGTGTGGGGCAGGAGATCGATTACTTACGATCCTACCAATAAAAGCGTCAACGTTGCATTTACTTCTGCGTCAAGAGTTCACTCATTACATATTGCTTGACATTTCAGCTGTCGATATCGATGCAACTATTGCGTTCTGTGCCGTAATTTAAAACACTCTGATTTCATGGCAATTAAACGCTATGTCATTATGACTATAACCAGGTTTTCTACAAGCGAGTTTACGTATACAGGTCTAACTGCTGCTACAAACATAAATACTCTCCACAAACCATTTAAGGCGGGTTTGTGTGGTGAAGGGTAATGGTGATTCAGTACCATGGACAGCGATTCGGCCGTTTTTACAGTGTTTTTGTCCATATCTTTGAGACCACATATAGCCCACGACTGTTTTAGGTCTTGATGTAATATTTCAGGTTGTAAAAATGCCAAAGAAAAAAAAACGTTGAATTTTTGTAATAGTTGCATATGAGTCCCTCAGTTGGCCTTAGTGTGAAAAGATGGATCTCAAAATCATACAGCCATTGTTGGAAAGGTTCAAATTCAAGTTCAGATACGCTGGAAAACCAAAGTATTTGTGGGACCTGAAGGATTTTTCCCATGTGTGTGTGTGTGTGTGTGTGTGTGTGCGTTACAGTATTTTCTGTGTGCACTGTGCACAGACAGTACTATAATATATATTAATATTTAGGTAAATATGAATATATTATTAAAAATAAAATACAAGTATAAAAGTGAAAATAATGTTTTAAGTTATAAAATATATTAAAACATAAATAATTTGTAAATACTGTAGTTGATATCACAGATCAACAGCATTTTTTAGGGAAAAAAATGGTTTAGGGAAATTAGAAAAAGGGAAATTAGGGAAAGGGAAATTAGTCACTTGTCACTATTAAGATGGTCCAGTAGCAAAGGAATGAATAGCCTACTTGTATGTGTATATGCACCATAAACCAAATGTATCTGTTAGACACTGATGTAACCGGAATTCCCCACCACCACCACCACCCAACCAACGCCCACCCACGAAGAGTTGTCTGCAGTTGTGTTTGAACTCTTCCTTTGACACCACAGTTCAAAGTAATCTCACACTGAAGTCCTCATGGAACACTCTATGAATTGTAAATGATCCTCCCACGTCTTTTACATAAGACCACCATGCGTTCATTAAAACCATTTGTACACGGTTGAAAAGAGTTTGACAGGTATTTGACTTTTTCACTCGGTTGATTGCCTGGGCAATTTACTATTGGATTTATCGTCAGCTCGCGCCGTAAAATAACGACCAGTCATTTTCTTTCACTCAGTGTAACTGCATGCAAGTAGAACATATCATTAAAATTGCTTTATGCGCTGGATCAATTTATTTTAAAGCACAGCGTGCATGCAAGAGGTCTGTTAAGATGGGGGAGCTGTTGCACTGAACACTATATTGCTATGGATTATTCAGTCCAGCACTTCCAGTACACTCATTTATTTGAAGCAACGTGAAACACGTTGTGCCTTCTCTACAGGGTGAATTACAAAATGGCCATGAAATCTCCTTATTTGTACTCTTTTTATTACCTCTCATTGTGGGTGTTCTCCTTCCAGTGTAAACACTTCCACTCAGCCCATCATCATCCGCCCTGCAAAATAAAATGCCCCCCTTGCTGATCATCTCATAATCAAGCTCTTGTTTAGCTGAATTAGCACTTACTTTATTTCGCTCTGAAAGCCATTATGAGGATTCTGATTTGCCAATGTAAGGCCATGTTTGCAGACAGATCTATCAAAAACTGAAATTATAAAAGCTACATTTCATTTCAAATTATTTTAAATATGGCATTGAATAGATCTGAATTTGTATAATGACATGGACTAAAGTATTAGGTCTAATAACACTCATGGAGCCTACTGACTGATTAACCCTCATATTGTGTTTCGGTCATTTCGAACCGGAAAAGATTTTCCTTTTCCTGAAAATGCTAGTTAATGTTTTTGCATTGGACTAAAACCTACTGACTTTGCTCACACAGGGTATAACAACTTCCCAAGAAAAAATAAATAAAACTGTACTTTTTAAATTTTTTATTACATTTTTATTTTTTATATTTCTGGTGTGCCAGGTCAAAAATGACCGGCCTACAAAAATTGCTTATAAATTCCTTGTAATGCTGTATAATTACCAAACATTAGATGCAATAATTTATCCACTTGTTTTCTTTCAATAAGCACAGGTTTTGTATTTCTCTTTGCAACTGATTGATCATAGGCCTCACTGATCTGAGCTTATACACCTGTGTTTGAGAGAAAATCGCCAAAATTATCCACAAACAATGCTTTTTTTCTCTCAAAAACTGAGGTGCATAAGCAGAAATATAAA